AAAGCGCGGCCGGAGGCCGCCAATGCAGAAAGGAATGAAAAGCTAAAATACTGTGGAGGAAATCCCGGTGAAGCATTATTTTACAAATTTAAGTATAAAACAAATTAAGGCCTTACATTTCTTCACGATTACATTTTGGTTTTCTTTATTTTGATTCTTTGTCCATACAAAAATGTTGCCTGGGTTGCATTGGTTTCAGTTTGTATGGAAAAATGAGCAAAAACACTGATTTTTGGTCATTTTCAAATGGTTCCCTACAGGTCCTAGGGGCTCTAGGGGGTCGAGCAGGGGTTTATTAAAAAGTTCGATCCTTCCTCTTTCCAATAAGGGGTCGGGAGGGAGGGTAGGCCCCCCCTGTTTTCTGGTCAATCCTTTTCATTTCTAGGAAACGTACAAAAAAACCATCCTTTTTCCTCTTTCTGTTTATTTCCCTCACTGAACATGACCGAACTCTTTTTTTTGTAATTTCAATAATTCCTGTTAATATGCGTATTCATTTTAATTGTTTTTAAATATTTTAATTTTCTATTCATTTTTGAAAAATGTAAACGAAATATAAAACCAAAACACAAATTGCTTATTGACACTTTTCTTCTGCATGTAAATACATTATAGTCATTCAAAAGTCTACTCTTCATTCGTTATGCATTTGACAGGCTTTTCGTTCATTTTTTGACAGTAACATACGGCAGCGTATGCACATTATAGTTAGGCCTTTACTGTGTCAATTGCTGTAAAATGAATCTTATTAATGATATTGTCTCTGGACCGTTTGTTGCTGATGTTCATAAGGAATTGTTTCCTTCGATTAATTAACGTCAGCTAGAAAGGTAAATGTGTCAATACCACAAGTTAATAACGCATTCGCAACATATATCTGCAAGCTTTGCTGAAATAATTCATGAAATGTGATTTATTTTTAATTTGCCAAAACCAGGCGTGTAAAATTAGCTTTTCAGAAGCTTAAATTTAATTTTTTGAATGTCATTTGTAAAAAATAACCTTACCCACCCGCATTGTAACTGAGTTAACCTTGACATAAAAATACAATCCAAATTTGATGTTTAAAAAATAATCAAATCACTATTATAACATTACTTACATTAACAAACGATAAAAATCTAAAGAACACAGAGTTTGAATAATAAAAAATCAGTTGTGTACAAGCAGCTGCATTAGTGACTACATATAGCGTTTTCAGTTTGCCCTAGGTAAGGGTAGGCTCTAGGAAATTCCTAAATTTTTATTTATAGAGTGTGAAATGTTGGTAAAATGTCAGGGAGTCCGTAATCGTCCATTTCGCACAGACACGGTCATGAAATATCATAAGGATTGTTTAATCTACAAAATTTAACGGCAAAGTCCTATAATAAATATGTATTCTCATGTAAATTTATAATTTCTCGCGCGTTCGCCTACCTAGGGCCTACCCTTGTCTAGGGCAAGCTAAAAACTCTATATAATCAGGTTCTATGATTACCATATCATTATTCATGTTGACAGTTCGGATGTAAATTGCTTCAAAATAGTATTTTTAGTCATAAAAACGTTTTCTGTTTTATAATTAAATTATGAGATCTCTTATATGGTCGGCAGTGATAAAGTGTTTAATTTCGTTTATAGATAAGAACTGCAGTCAAATTGTGTCGGATTTAGAAAATTCGTTATTCTGGTATTTTGCAACTCTTAAACTTTGGAATATCGTAATGGAAGATTCCTTATGAGGTAAGTATATCATCATAATGTTGATGATCACTTTTCTAATAATTTACATATTTATTCGTGTAATTGTACATCTGCAGGCATTATAACGTTACAAGGTAAAAAGTGATATGGATGACAGGCACAAGAATCCACGGATATACCTTAGTGGAGCAAAAAAACGGAAAGCTTTTGAAAAAAAAGAAAAAGGATCACTTAGAAGTCTTTGCAAAGACTTCCAAACTTGATAAATTTTTCCATGCCACGACTTTATCTGATGTAACAGATGAACGTCATTTATTGAATTCAGKACAGACTGAAAAATCATCATCAGAAACGGAAAAATTGCTATTAAACACAAATTCACAGCAGAACAACGTCAGCGAAAATGAAGTCGATACAGCAACTACAGTAGTTTCGGAACAAGAAGAGAAAAAKTACGATGATAAAAATGATATTGGGTTCTGGGCAAATACACTTACGGAAGCATTGAAAGATTTTTGGATCAAACAAGGGTCAACTAAATTACAGCAGTGCGAAGAAAGAGTTCTAGAAACATGATCTGTTCTTCAATCACGAGATGATGGATACGCAGACCGGAAATGCAGTAAAAGTCTTTTTCAGCGAACGCTTCCTAATAAGGAAAAACTTGATCGTTCTTGGCTTTATTTTTCACCTTCAACTGGCAAAATTTACTGCTTTGTTTGTATCCTGTTAGCTGAAGAACGTGAATCTCATTTCATAAAAAATGGATTTTGTGACTGGAGACATGCTTCAGAACGTGTTGCTGAACATGAGAAGTCAAAAAGTCATGTCGATTCAATTGTAGCATATGCGACCCGGAAAAACCGTAATGCTTGTTTAGATCAGGCAATTCAGCAACAGGTTTGTGTTACTTCTACCATAATTATTAACAAATAATAAAGGAGTGTTGGCAATTAGTAGAGAACTATGCGACATCAGTCGTAAGAGCTCGTACTTTTCCTGTTATTTCTTTTTAAAGTTGTGTGTATCATTAATTTCAAAGGTTAAAAATTAATCCACAGATCACACAAAAGACCGCATACTGGCGTGAAGTATTAAGAAGGGTTGTCAGCACCATCAAATTTCTTGCGGAATGTGGCTTTTCGTGGCTCCGATGAAATTCTTGGCTCACCCAATAAWGGAAATTTTCTTGGAATACTRGAACTTCTAGCTCAGTATGACCCCWTTTTSGCCGGACACAKCAAGGAACACGGAAATAAGGGACGAGGACACGTAAATTATTTATCCTCAACAATATGCGAGGAAATTATAACTTTGATGGGGAAAAAAGTACAGGCAGAAATAATCAGCAGTATAAAAAAAAAAAAAAAAAATACTATTCAATATCTGTTGATTCATCACCTGATGAAGCACACATCGATCAATTAACCATTACTATCAGATACATGGAAGGCTTGAATCCAGTTGAACGATTTTTAACTTTTATTTCAAATGGTGGTGACACAGGGTAAGAGATGGCGAATGCCCTTCTTTAGTTCCTAATAAAACATAGTATTGACATACAAGACTGCCCTGGTCAGTCGTACGATACTGCTGCACCCAACATGAGCGGCAAGTACAAAGGCATGCAGGCAAGAATTTCAGAAGATAATAATAATGCGGATTACATTC